TTAGGTCTAGGGGGACACAGGAAAGCAGATTTTCTTACCTGGTCCTATGCTGCTAGGCTGGGCCCTGCAGCATCTTCCCCCCTACACTCCACCAGTCTAAGGTCTTGACATCACCAGTGCAGGGTCCATAGCCCTGCACTGGATGTAAGGATGCTGAGGGGCAGTGCACCGCAGGAGAAATGGGATGGGCCATATCCTGGAGGAGTGGAGGATCAGGTGAAGGCGCTGCTTCTCTTCTCTAGACAGACCAAGCAGTTAACCCTTGCAGCCCTCTGGAAAAGGGATAATTTTTAGTGATGCACCAATTTATCAGACAAAAGTAGGATTATCGGCATTTTGCCAAAAGGAAAACAAAAAAAAAAAGAAAACAAAAAAGGTGCAGATAATGGCTGTGTGTGTTTTTAAATTATTGTGCAGCATATTTAAAGTGTTACTAAACCCACAACAGTAAAATCAGTCTGTAAATACAGTAAAGCATGCTTGTTATACTCACTGTGTAACCTAAGGGGTTAATCCTCTGCACTGTGTAGAAAGACTGTTTGATTTTGCCTTCTCTAATCCTCCCCTTCTTCTACTGTCCCCAATCCATCTGCTGATAGAACAGAGCCTTTGGAGCAAGCTGCACATGCTCAGTTGGAATGTATTGCTAGAAAGTTTTTTTTCTTTGGAGAGTGCATGTGATCAGCACAGGGCCAATCAGCACTGTCCAGACAGAGGGTCAGGGGTCATGCAGCCTCACAGGACAATCAGGGGAGAATGAACACTCCTACAAGCTTTAACCAGTGCTCTGCTGGACACCGATAGAAGTCACACGGCTGCTCTATACTGCTGATGAGAAAAGGTATTCAGCAGTTTTGTATTTACTAATATAATTGTATTTCCATGTTCTGTGTACTTTGGGAGACCAGATATAGTGAATGCGGGGTCCGGGGAGACCAGGATATAGTGAATGCGGGGTCCTGGGAGACCGGATATAGTGAATGCGGGGTCTGGGGAGACCGGATATAGTGAATGCGGGGTCCTGGGAGACCGGATATAGTGAATGCGGGGTCCGGGGAGACCGGATATAGTGAATGCGGGGTCCGGGGAGACCGGATATAGTGAATGCGGGGTCCGGGGAGACCGGATATAGTGAATGCGGGGTCCGGGGAGACCGGATATAGTGAATGCGGGGTCCGGGGAGACCGGATATAGTGAATGCGGGGTCCGGGGAGACCGGATATAGTGAATGCGGGGTCCGGGGAGACCGGATATAGTGAATGCGGGGTCCGGGGAGACCGGATATAGTGAATGCGGGGTCCGGGGAGACCGGATATAGTGAATGCAGGGTCCTGGGTTTAGTAACACTAAGGTTTTTTATTTTATATATATTTCATTTTCTGTCCAATTTATTGTCTATGTAGTAATTGAGAGTGAGAGTGTGTGTGTGTGTGTGTGTGTGTGTGTGAGTGTGTGAGTGTGAGTGTGAGTTGTGAGAGTGTGGGTGTGTGTTGGGGTGTGTGTGGGGTGGGGTGGGGTGTGGTGGTGTGGGGGGGGGGGGGCTTTCGGCCAAGAGGAAAAGGAGTGCAACTGCACTTACAAAGTGTATAGTCTATTAGCATTTAGTAAATCCACCCCACTGATTTCTGTCCCTGCCAAAAAAGCTGCTGCCTTGACCTCTCAAGAGCCTGCCCACATACTTACTGAAGGTAGGGAAAGAACTGTTAGGAGATGTAGTTCTGGGGTTGCACCTACTTCATTTGGAATATACTGTACACAGGCCACACTGCTGATCCCCTCCTACCAATAGCTGCCCATGCAAGAAATTTTAAAGGCTGCTGTGACTCTCTGGTCAATCCTATGTGACAGAGATGAGTGCTTGACCAGCCAGCTTCCATGCACAGCACTGTCACTTGGAAGAAGAAAAAGTGGAGGTACAAGGTTCCCCATACCAGGAAGTACAGGGTACTTCACTTATTCCCAGTGGTCAAGTAGAACAGTAAGCAATGTACGTGGTTCTGGTAATCTCCTTTCTGAAAATGCTAGTCCATGTTCTTCAATACTGAGTGGGTGACCTAGAAAAAAAGTACGCAGATCAGCAGACCCGAATTCATAGGCTACGTGCTTGTTTCAGGCCAGTAACTCAAACAGTCCATAGACCAAATCATGTCCATAGAGTTCCAAGACTCACACATGGGGACAGGGGCAGACTGACCATTCGAGCACTGCCCGAGGGACCAGGGTCATTAAGGGGTCCCATGAGATGCCCCTGGTACCTTTCATAGGCTTTTCTGGGTGTGGTTTGAGTGTGGGCGAGGACACAGGGACACCATGACCCCCTATTACCCGGGGGCCCCATGAGTTGTCAGTCTGCCCCTGCATGGGGAAAACTTTTAATGCTATTATTAATCTTACAAGCAGCGTCTTGCTGCGCTATGAAACCCATGTGTGATCTATTATGTGTCTGGACCTTGTTATTTTAAAGGCAAATTTGTCTTTATTATTTTGCACAAATTTAACAAAGCATGAGAAATAAAAAGAACATGTACAAGTAAACAGAAAAACATCCCAGATGTGGCTATGCTCCATGGGGATGGATGAAAATGATGCAGTACAACAAGAGGGAAAGATCAAAAAAACCGATATTGCAGAGATATAACAAAACATAGTTGCGGGGGGGGGGGGTATCCCTGGGCGAGATATATGGAACAATATGAGAGAACTCTGCACAACCAAGAGTGTAAACCCAAACTGAGAAAGAGAAGGGAGAAAAAAAAAAAGGGGGGAAGCCAGTGGTAAGGATAGCGAAGGAGGAGAAGAGCGAGAGAAGAGAGGGGATTGGGAGACGGGAATGGCAGAAAGCAGAATCAAGGTGGCTCCCCACCTGTATCCCACCGGAGCGACCCCGCCGCCTGTATTCTGGCACGGACCGTAGAGCCCAACTGGCGGACAAGCCAAAATAACAATGAGTCGGGGGGAGGAAGGCTCAACTGCACTAGGGTGCAACAGGGGAACACATATGTTGGAGAGTCGAAGAGGAGGAGAAATGGAGTCAGACCGACCACAGCAACTTATGTCTATCAAAAGGTATCATTGGTAAACGCCAGCATTTCCTCCATACGCATGGTATTATTAAGCACAGAAACCCACATCGGAAAGGGAGGGGGAGTGGCTGTTTTCTAAAAGAGGGGTATCAATTGGCAGGCAGCAGACAGAAAGAAACGCAACAGCCTTTTCTTCTGCTCTGTAGTGAGCCCGGTAAATATAGAGAAGAGCAATTTCCAACGAAGGGGCCAAGGACTCACCACAGATCCAGTTATATATAGCAAAGACTTGTCTCCAGAAGGGTTGTATTTGATCACAATCCCAGCAAATGTGGAGCTGTGTACCAACAGCTCTATTACGGCGCCACAAAGATCAGGTGTAGACGGAAACATTTTGTGTAGAGAGATGGGATCCCTGTATCATCGAGAAAGAAGCTTAAGGTTCTTCTCCTGTGCATAGCAAGAAATAGATGATTTATGAGTAAAGTGGAACGACGTGGACTAATCCTACGCCGATATGTATTTACCTAGGTCGTCTCGAGCCCACTCCTTGGTGTAGGGAGGGAGTTCAGAATGAAGAGCATTGTGGAGCACTTTATAGAGGGAAGCTAGGACGTGTCTCAGTGGTTCAGAGAGGGAGCACAGCCCTTCAATCTCAGAAAGTGAACGATGAGTGTTGGAGGAAGTGCTTTCAAAATGAGGATAGGTGTAAAGTGGTCAACCAATCCCTAGGCACACCTTGAAGGAGCGGAAGACCCAACTGGTGGCAGATAAAGTCTCGAGCTACGGGCCAGGAGGCGCGTGTAAAGGGTCCAATAATAGAAGAGCCCAACCCCTGAGGAAGAGCGGGGTTCTCAAAAAGGGTGATAAGGGAGAGGGATCAGAGGATAAGAGAGAGTAATAATGCCCTGTTTATACCACAACTGCATTACAGCTAAAGTCAAAGAAGACAGGCCGGAAAAACGCTGATAGTCCCAGTCATACTCCCATGGTAATGCCCGAAGATCAACCGGAGAAAGATCTTGTTCAATCATACAAGAGGCTTTACGGAAGGGTCTGGGAAACCAATCAAGCATCCGGGCTAGTAACGTGGCTCTGTAATATTTATTTCAGGTACTTATATAGCGCCGTCCATTTACGCAGCACTTTACATATATATTGTACATTCACATCAGTCCCTAACCCTCAAGGGGTGTACAATCTAAGGTCCCTAACTCACATTCATACATACACATACTAGGGCCAGTTTAGACAGGAGCCAAGTCACCTACCAGCATGTCTTTGAAGTGTGGGAGGAAACCAGAGTACCCGATAAAGCTCAAAGTCTGGTAAACCCACTCTGCCACCAAGTTTCGGGTAAGTAAAATGAGTTTTAACCTTGAAAACCCACGGTGCCAAATAAATCGAATTGAAAGGGATCGTAGAGAAAGGAAAAAACCTCCTAGGGACAGTGATTGGTACAGTCTGAAAAACATATAGTAACTTAGGTAAGGTATCCATCTTGAGAGTGTTGATGCGGCCGAACCAGGGCAGGGCTGAAGTTCCCCATAAAGCTAGATCTTTTCGGATACGTGAAAGTAAGGATAAATAATTAAGAAAATATAGAGCATTAAGATCGGCCGAAATCATAACCCCCAGGTACATGATAGCCTTTGGTCGCCATTGAAAGGAAAGGTTGCCATATTAGCCAAATGACGGCTGCACTGCGGCCGGCCAGTTCTGGGAAGGCGTCATATGATGTCCTCCCAGAATGCGCTCTCCTGCGCACCCCCAGCAATCTCCGTCATCACGTGATGTGGTAAAACGCCAATCACAGCAGCCTTTTACCACGTGATCAGCCATGTCCAATGACACGCTGATCACAGGGAAATGCAATTGCCTGTTCTCGGCTGCACTTTCCTTACACTGTCAGAACGTGGGGAAAGTACTGCCGAGAGACCGGCAGTTGTCAGAGCGGGGATCGGCACCGATCATCAGGGCACTGATGATCAGTGCCCTGATGATTGGTGCCCAGCAGTGCCACCCACTAGCTCCGCCCACCTGTGCCAGCCACCAGTGCTTATCAGTGCCCTCCACCTGTGCCCAGCAGTGCCACCCACCAGTGCTCAGCAGTGCCGCCAGTCAGTGCCACCTATCAGTGCCCATCACTGCTGCCTCATCAATGCACATCAGTGAAGGAGAAAAATTACCTGTTTGCAAAATTTTATAATAGAAACAAAGAAACTTTTTTTCTTTCAAATATTTTGAACTTTTTTTTGTTTATAGCGCAAAAAGACCCAGCGGTGATTAAATACCACCAAAAGAAAGCTCTATTCATGAGAAAAAAATGCTAAAAATTTCATATGGGTACAATCTTACATGACCGCGCAATTGTCAAATTGCGACAGTGCTGAAAGCTGAAAATAGGCCTGGTAAGGAAGGGGGTATATGTGCCCTGTAGGCAAGGAGTTAATGATATTTTGAATTCAGTATAATTTTTATGGTACCCCAGCCCGATGAATTCTATCATCAATGGTAACCACTTTGTCTATTCTTTGGGCGATCACGCTCAACGTGAGCGGAGGCGTTTTGGTACATAGTTATTTGTATCAACCTCAAACTTTGTTTCTTTGTGTGAACAGTAACTCAAACAGTACTGAAGTCAGAGGCATCCAAGCAATTAGCATTTTCACAAATAATTCTGCCATAGCAGCCACCGCATTTTTAACTGTACAGGTTTTCTCTTGCGAAGACCAAGGCCATTCTACAGTATAAGCCTTGACACACAAAACGGACTCCGTCAAAGAATAACGTCCACCAGCTTTCTGTATATTTCACTTTTTCTCATTTTTATTATTCAACAAATTATACATAATAAATACAAAGTTTTTTTTGCTTTTTTTTTTACAGCCAATACAAAGGAGGAAGATTGCTTCTGGTCTTCCTGCAATGACACTGTACATTGATACATGGAATCCCCTATGGAGTTACAAAGATCTTTTCTGTTAAATAACATTAGCAGCTCATACTGATTTTTTTTTTAATTTTTTTTCTTTAAACACAGTTCTGAAATAACACTTATTTTAAAAGATATAACAAATAAGAACAGAGGAAGGTGGGGAGGGGGAACTGGTCTAAAACTTTCCACGTACAGAGGGGGGCTGTTCAGTGACCGGTCTGAATCAATCTGATTCCCGAGTCAATAAAAGGCAGAGACGTTCAGATTCATACATAGAACCTACCAACAGTTCTGGCTCAGCTTCTGAAGAAGGCAGGGCTGTAATATGTGGACCAGACACTCACCATAATGTGTTTGTAGCTGCCCTAATTTAAAGTGGAACGGTCTCCTCATAACTTTTACAATAATTCTTAAAAGGATCTAAAACGGTTAAATATTTCTATAAAGAAACATGTCATACATGACAAAGCAAACCACAATGGGTCATCTAAAGAGACAGCCAAGTAGCCTAGCTTCCTTTCAGTCTGACAAGAAATGAGCCATTGCCCTGAAACCAGATCTGTGTGTTAATATCAGCTTGAGCTATTGATCTCCATGAACAGATTTTTTTTTTGAACATGTGGCAGTTGGAAAGGAGTATAAAAAGAACCTCCATTCTCTGTTTGCATAAAAACTTGATAATAGTCACACATCTAAAAAGCATTGGGGGTCAGCTTTCATGACTTGAACAATAAGGGTGCACTTGGTAAATGCCGTACACTGCAACGTTGATGTCAACGACCTTCCTCTGGTAGACTTCCAAGATAGCTCAATAATTGTGCTCTTGGGTTTAAAGTCATTCGTTATCTGTGCAATGGATGTTGCAAACGATTAGTAGGCTACTCCGCCAGAAGGCGCAACTCAAGATGGCGTGCTCTTTCGGTATTTATCCACAAGTGAGCTACATTGCAAACATGGCCACTACTTGCCACAAGCCGATCACACAGGGTAACATTAGGCAAGCTAGCTCACAGCAGCACCTTTGGCACAGAAAACTTTAGTTGATAAATCCACTTTTTTTACTGGGTACAGTTCCACGATAAGATCATTCAGAGACAGTTGGAGCAATTTTCTGTCCCTTTTATTGCATTAAGACTGTTTTGTAAAGATTCTATTGGCTCATGTGACCACAGTCATCTTCTTGCGCCTTTTTAGGACATGTAGTGAAGGTGAATGTTGCATATTTATTCTTTTGCTGAACATATGTTTACAGGGAAGCCAAGAGCTGCATGGCAGCACTGGGCCCCTATCAGATATCAGTTGTGCTGAGATGGACTGGCCGCAAGGTTTGACATGAGATCCGCTAACATTCGGTCTCACACTGCTGATCACCAATAAGGACTCAGCTGTACGTCAATGAACTTAATATCGCTAAACAGCCCTCCTCTGTAAGGGGAAAGATGGAGCATCTTGTCTGGAGACCCTCCAGACATACTCGTCACCTACAGTTTCTTTAATACACAGTCTACTTCTAAAAGATGGAGGTCAACTCTTTTTTAGCTTCTTAAAAAAAAAAAAATCAAAATCATTTGAAAAGGATACTTCGAAATAAGATTGGGGGGGGGATATATTTTTGAAAAGGGAAAAGGTAGGGAGAGGGTTAAAATTAGTCTTCAAAGAAGATACTAGTACACAAACATTTGAACAGCGTTCAACAAAATAAATTAGCTTTCTTTGCGCTTGGGAATCCTACCGACTCCTCGAGCAGCGCCAACCTCTAGACACGTCCAGTAATCCGATTCTCTCTACTAACACCCATAATGCAAACGAAAATAAAATGCCACTATTTATAGAGAATACAGGAAATGAAAGGAAGGGAAAAAAAAAAAAGACTATGGAATTTGAAATTTTTAACAGTTATTGCATAACGTTATTGGACTTTTTTTATTTTTATAAATTATTAGAGCTTTAAGATTTTAGATCAGGTGAGTTAATTATGCCTGTTTAGTGTTCAATATCCCCAAAGAAAGATCTAATAATAATCTTAAGTAGGAAGTTCAGTGAAAGAGGACCTGTGATTATTATTTTTTTTTTTTTTTAATTCTGACCAATTTGATGAAAGTTACCAAGCTTTTTTTAATACCTTATTGTTAAAAATGGCCCTTTTCCTACTCATCCCTTTGATTAAAGCCTGCGGTAAACCTGCGATTGCTGACCTCCCATGGAAAGTGCTAGTTTCCTAGCTGTTTTGACGTCAACACTTCAGTCGCTCACCTGGAACAAGCATGCAGATAAGGTCAACCTCACCTACATTCCTGATCTTGGCCAGTGACTCAAAGTACCAAAACCCTGTGGTCAGTATGTGGGCCAGCATTTTCAGAACGAGGGGTCAGGAATGGCAATTTCTGAATTTCGCGGCAGGTTCCCTTTGAAGCTGTTCTGCCACTCCACCTCTACCCGACATCCTACACAGGTTGAAGCAGAGTGCAGCGGTGTAGCTGAGATGTCCCTAAATGCAGATTGTGGGTGAAAAGAAAATCGGATAACTTTTATCAAACTGAAAAGGGTTACCCAAGCATGACAGATACGCTTTAAAGTGGACCTGTCAAATACACAAGGTGGAGGCAGCCATTTTAGTGGACTTTATTGCTTTATCGGGGTGCTGAAACAGTAGCTGTAGACTGATGTAACTTCAGCCATCATGTCATTAAATTGTATGCAACCCCGACATCTTTTTTAGCTGGAGATCCTGCCAGTAACAGCACTTCCTGTTGCAAGCTGACAACACTCAGCCAACCGCCTCCCAATTAGGAGCAGCCTGGTCAGGCCGCCATGTACGCTCCTGCAGTTACATGTTAGGTTGCCTATTAGTTAGGTAGCCCAATGGACAACTGAAGGAGTGCCCACAGCAGGCTGAGAATGCCACTGCTAATTGTGAGGCATTAGCGGAGTTTTGTCAGCAGAAAACTGGAAATGCTGTTTCCTGGGTAAGAAACTTTACAACACATTTATTAGAAATGAACAAGCAAATAGAACGTTCCCATGACCTTGAAAAAAGGCACACGACCTTGAAAAAAGGTACATGACCACAGAAGCAAAAGCATTTCCAGAAGAATTATTATTATATCCTCTTAACCAAATTCTTCCTTTCTGCAATTCTGATTGGATTGCGTGGGTTGCATTCTGCAATTTTTAGCTCAACTAAGCACCAACTAAAATGTTGTTGGCTTGTAAATGCTCAGCTGTGTAGTATTGCATTCAGCAGGCATTTACAAAGCAATCAGTAAGCTCCTGCAGAGCTCAGCCATAAAGGTTTGCAGTTCTTGCTAAATGCTTCATCAGAGTCTGGCCATCCTTTTTCAACTTAAGGTGACTGTTAGATTGACTTCTCTCAAATGGATAAGTTGGGAAAACCTTTGTCGATCAGCAACTGCAGTGAGAACTGCTGTCAGGTATCAATTGTCCCCTGGAGGGGGGATGGAGGATTCTGTTAGAAGCAAGACTTTGACTCAAGTGACAGCTTACATCACAGTCGCCTCAGTATCTAGATCAGCCATTCTCAACCAGGGTTCAGTGGAAGTCTAGGTTTCCTCAGGAGGTTGCTATAGGTTCCCTTGAGCTCTGGTTGATTGACCTCCCATTTGATGGTTCCTACATAGTTTTGGGTCCAACACCAGGTTTCCTCTGGAGGTTGCTATAGGCTCCCTTGAGCTCTGGTTGATTAACCTCCCATCTGATGGTGCCTACATAGTTTTGAGTCCAACGCCAGGTTTCCTCTAGAAGTTGCTATAGGTTCCCTTGAGCTCTGGTTGATTGACCTCCTATTTGATGGTGTCTACATAGTTTTGAGTCCAACACCAGGTTTCCTCTAGAAGTTGCTATAGGTTCCTTGAGCTCTGGTTGATTGACCTCCTATTTGATGGTGCTTACATAGTTTTGGGTCCAACATCAGGTTTCCTCTGGAGCTTGCTGCTATAGGTTCCCTTGAGCTCTGGTTGATTGACCTCCTATTTGATGGTGCTTACATAGTTTTGGGTCCAACACCAGGTTTCCTCTGGAGGTTGCTATAGGTTCCCTTGAGCTCTGGTTGATTAACCTCCCATCTGATGGTGCCTACATAGTTTTGAGTCCAACGCCAGGTTTCCTCTAGAGGTTGCTATAGGTTCCCTTGAGCTCTGGTTGATTGACCTCCTATTTGATGGTGCCTACATAGTTTTGAGTCCAACACCAGGTTTCCTCTAGAAGTTGCTATAGGTTCCCTTGAGCTCTGGTTGATTGACCTCCTATTTGATGGTGCTTACATAGTTTTGGGTCCAACACCAGGTTTCCTCTGGAGCTTGCTATAGGTTCCCTTGAGCTCTGGTTGATTGACCTCCTATTTGATGGTGCTTACATAGTTTTGGGTCCAACACCAGGTTTCCTCTGGAGCTTGCTATAGGTTCCCTTGAGCTCTGGTTGATTGACCTCCTATTTGATGGTGCTTACATAGTTTTGGGTCCAACACCAGGTTTCCTCTGGAGGTTGCTATAGGTTCCCTTGAGCTCTGGTTGATTGACCTCCCATCTAATGGTGCCTAGATTGTTTTAGGTTCAACGCCATTTGGCAGAGCCAACGACATGACACTAATGATCTTTTTTGCTGTGTAAGGGTACATTCTGACCACCAATGAGAGGGGAACTATTATATCCAGGGGCGGACTGACCATTCGAGGTCTTGGGCACTGCCTGAGGGCCCGGGGTCAGTAGGGGGCCTCATGAAATGCCCCTGGTACCTTTTATAGGCTTTTTTGGGTGTGCTTTGAGTGTGGGCAAGGACACAGGGGCCCCATAATCCCCTATTGCCCGGGGGCCCCATGAGTTGTCAGTCCGCCCCTGATTATATCCATTGACCAACAATGTAATGCGTATTCTAACCACTGACTAATTAATTTTTGAAGGGGTTCCCCAAGATCTGGTAATTATTTCAAGGGTTCCCCTGGGGTGATCAGGTTGAGAAAGGCTGGTCTAGATTATTCATAGGTTGCAGTTTAGTGAATGCTGTCAAAGGTGATTAAATGGCTGCCAATAGGGCACGTATCTGACAGGTCCACAAATATCACTCGTGAATTTTATTCTTCTATGTCTTAACAATGGTTGGAAAATAATAAAATACCTCACGTCATCCTGATATTGCCCTGACAAAAGTAAACAAGCAGGGTGATATTCCGATAAGTATTTATGGTGCTGCATGGAGTTCTTTACATTCGCTAGAGAAGCTTTTGGTGCTTCCATTCAAAAGTGAACAAGAACACAAGCCCCCCTTTAAAGTGTCGCAGTTGATGCAACTGAGCAGCCATTTTGTGCCACAAAACAATATCTCCACCGCCTGTCAATTCAGTATTGCTTCAGGCGCAAAATGAGTGCCTTGTAAGAACGAACTGACAAGCTGAATATTGCTTGCGTCACAAAACAACCACAGATATGAATATTCCTTTATTATGGAAGCCCGCTTCCCGGGCTGCGTATTCAGTAGGGAAAAAAGAAAAAAAAAAAAAGCGGCGGACACTTGTGACAGATTGCCACCTAAACTACATGAGCTGCTTAAATACAAATATGTTTAGTTACATTGATTCTGAATGATTAATTATCGAGGTTTAATGTTAGATTCAGCCAAAGTTCTTTACAGCATACTTATATATAATTATATATAATTTTTTTTGTTTGTTTTCTTAACCCTTTGTTTGCCAGGAAAGTAAAGAGAGGAGCCAGCCCCTGCATTCCCTTTAAGTGACCCGTTCCTCGGCAAACGTTGGTTGCCGGCGCACTGCGCTGCAATGACCGGGCATTCCCATTTGGCAGAAGTGGGGGTTCAATGGTTAGCTTTTTTTTTTTTTTCAATATACAGATAACTGAGGGGGAGGGGGGGACAAGATTAATTTTTAACACATTCCTATGACCACAGTAATATACTGTACTAACACGCATGATAGAAGTATTCTATGAGGACCGTCTATATCCCCCCGTACAAAATACGGAAGGTGCCTCTCCGCAGCTCCCCATCAGGTGCAATCTGAAGGCGAAATCACAGCAGCGATTGTCGGAGGGCTTGTTCACACTAGACCTATCCTGAGATGGACACGGAGGCTGCCATTACTACCTCTCATCCTGGAAATATTGGTTTCCTTGCTCCCAGGCTCATCCTCTTGCTTTAATATTTGGGTCTCTTACCTGGAACAAGCATGAACATACAGTCAGGTCCATAAATATTGGGACATGGACACAATTCTAACATTTTTGGCTCTATACACCACCACAATGGATTTGAAATGAAACAAACAAGATGTGCTTTAACTGCAGACTGTCAGCTTTAATTTGAGGGTATTTACATCCAAATCAGGTGAACGGTGTAGGAATTACAACAGTTTGCATATGTGCCTCCCACTTGTTAAGGGACCAAAAGTAATGGGACATTTGGCTTCTCAGCTGTTCCATGGCCAGGTGTGTGTTATTCCCTCATTATCCCAAATACGAGCAGATAAAAGGTCCAGAGTTCATTCCAAGTGTGCTATTTGCATTTGGAATCTGTTGCTGTCAACTCTCAAGATGAGATCCAAAGAGCTGTCACTATCAGTGAAGCAAGCCATCATTAGGCTGAAAAAACAAAACAAACCATCAGAGAGATAGCAAAAACATTAGGCGTGGCCAAAACAACTGTTTGGAACATTCTTAAAAAGAAGGAACGCACCGGTGAGCTCAGCAACACCAAAAGACCCAGAAGACCACGGAAAACAACTGTGGTGGATGACCGAAGAATTCTTTCCCTGGTGAAGAAAACGCCCTTCACAACAGTTGGCCAGATCAAGAACACTTTCCAGGAGGTAGGTGTATGTATGTCAAAGTCACCAATCAAGAGAAGACTTCACCAGAGTGAATACAGAGGGTTCACCACAAGACGTAAACCATTGGTGAGCCTCAAAAACAGGAAGGCCAGATTAGAGTTTGCCAAACGATATGTAAAAAAGCCTTCACAGTTCTGGAACAACATCCTATGGACAGATGAGACCAAGATCAACTTGTACCAGAGTGATGGGAAGAGAAGAGTATGGAGAAGGAAAGGAACTGCTCATGATCCTAAGCATACCACCTCATCAGTGAAGCATGGTGGTGGTAGTGTCATGGCGTGGGCATGTATGGCTGCCAATGGAACTGGTTCTCCAGTATTTATTGATGATGTGACTGCTGACAAAAGCAGCAGGATGAATTCTGAAGTGTTTCGAGAATATTATCTGCTCATATTCAGCCAAATGCTTCACAACTCATTGGACGCCGCTTCACAGTGCAGATGGACAATGGTCCAAAGCATACTGCAAAAGCAACCAAAGAGTTTTTTAAGGGAAAGAAGTGGAATGTTATGCAATGGCCAAGTCAATCACCTGACCTGAATCCGATTGAGCATGCATTTCACTTGCTGAAGACAAAACTGAAGGGAAAATGCCCCAAGAACAAGCAGGAACTGAAGACAGTTGCAGTAGAGGCCTGGCAGAGCATCACCAGGGATGAAACCCAGCGTCTGGTGATGTCTATGTGTTCCAGACTTCAGGCTGTAATTGACTGCAAAGGATTTGCAACCAAGTATTAAAAAGTGAAAGTTTGATTTATGATTATTATTCTGTCCCCATTACTTTTGGTCCCTTAACAAGTGGGAGGCACATATGCAAACTGTTGTAATTCCTACACCGTTCACCTGATTTGGATGTAAATACCCTCAAATTAAAGCTGACAGTCTGCAGTTAAAGCACATCTTATTATTTTCATTTCAAATCCATTGTGGTGGTGTATAGAGCCAAAAATGTTAGAATTGTGTCGATGTCCCAATATTTATGGACCTGACTGTAAGACAAATATCCAGACTTGCTAAACCCTGTATGTCAGTGTACTAATCAGGCAATCAGCCACTTCAAAAGGGGGACTGGCAATGGTAGGACTCATGTAGGTCTCAGGAAACATTGATGCGCCTTTGGAAGGTTCCATTTCAACTTATAAATGCATGTGGGTCTTGTTTCAAATACCCCGCAAAGCAAAGAGCTGGTGGCAATGAGTCCTACTGATGATGAGGAATTTTCTTAATGTAATATTTTCAGATTCTATTTTTCTTTTAATTTATTTTCTCAGTTAACGTATTTGACTCATTTTGCCTGCCCTGGATATGCTTCTAAAAGCACAAAAACGCCTCTGGTGTGAACAAGCCCTCAAAGTGTGGCTCAAAGTCAGGAAAACTGGTATGACCAATATAAACGACTTCCTTATTTCTGTCCCATTTCTCTTTAAAATATTCCTCATGTTCTGTGGGGCTCCTGTCTTTGGGTTCTGAATGGCAGAACCCAGTTTTTTTTTTTACTTTTTGGTATATAAACTGTATGACTGTATTCCTCTTTTCACTTCTCTCGCTTGGCTTCTCTCATAAAGCGTTTGTAAATCCAAAACCATTTTTTCAGTATGTTTGAAGTCATGGCTCACTGTATACAGTTTTCTTGAGCAATTCAGTTTTTTGAATGTTTGCAAAGTTTCTTACCTGGGGATCCTACCAGAAACAGCACTTCCTGTTTCAGGCTGACAACACGTAAAGCGGAGTTCCACTCACCCTGTCAAAAAATAAAAGTCAGCAGCTACAAAAACTGTAGCTGCTGACTTTTAAAAAACAGCCTCTTACCTGTCCCTCGGTGTGTCCCCCGAAGCCCGTTTCAACGGCCGTCCTGTATTCCAGGAGGCCGTCATCTTCAGTGTGGGCACCCGGCTGTGACAGCTTTCAGCTTCACAGCCAAATACCCACTGCGCATGCATGAGAAGTGCTGCGCTTCATGAATGGTCCTGTAGTCTTCTGGGACCTGTCACAAATGGCTACAGGGAGGGAGGACACCTTCCGCTTCCAGTCGCCTAGGCGATCGGACTGGAAGTGGGAGCGGGTACCTGTCAAATTCGGGTACACACTCCCTCCCCCCCGCCACCCAAAGGTGCCAATCCTTAAGGGATAGCGGGGGAGCAGTCCTTAAAGCAGAAGTTCCCCTTTTGGTTGGAGCTTCGCTTTAAGCTACCCATCGAAATTTATCCGGTTCAGTAAGGACTGGCTGATTTTCGATCAGTGCGTGGTCCTCGCTAATGAACTTTTGTTGAAGGGAGATGTTGGAAATGATTCCTTGATCTGTGGCTACAGCTGCTGATCAGTGTATTCTGACAGACACAGATGCCGCTGTCAGAATAAAAGGTTCCACTGATGGGTATACCCGAATACTTCTCGGCCGAGCGAAAAAAAAAAAACCAAAAAAAACAAAACGAAACAGATTCCCCCATCTACACAAGCAAATCCTCCAAGCTGTGACAAGGTATTTTGACAGCGGGGACTCTTTGATGTCAGAATACACTGATCAGCAGCTGCAGCTGATGACTGATGAGCGTTTTCCAGCATAGCCGTTCAACAGAAGTCGATCCTTCTGCTGAACAGGAAGGATCACACACAGATCGAAAATTGGTTGGTCCCTGTTGAACTGGCCAAATGCTGATTTGTCTGTACCCACGTTAATGGTTTATGGCTAGCTTAGACCACTGCTGTGCAATTAGCCACAACATTGTCAATCTGCTGTGTGCACTCCTTCAGTTGGATGTTTGGTTGCTTGTATGATCTACTAGGCAGCTCAATGGTCAACTGAAGGAGCGTTCACAACAGACTGACAACACTTCTGCTAACTGAGAGGTAGGGGTTTAGTGTTGTCAGCCTGAAACAGAATGTGTCGTTACTGGTAGGACCTCCAGGTAACAGAGTTGTTTAAGAAACCTGCATACTGTCCGGAATAAAGCTCAAAATATTAAAAAAATAAACGTTGGGTTTACAAATCCTTTATCTGTCAGCGGGTGTGAGCATGCATGACGGTTACTGAAGCAATGCATTATGGGGCTCAATGAAGAAATACATCCACAGGCATACAGTAATATATAAAAAAGGTCTTGTGAATGAAAGTGTGTGAAGGAAGGACTTATTGTTGCCAACAGGAATACTTTAGAAGCAGGAAAGCCGATTGGTAGTGGTGGGTCGGTGATGAGGGATAGACCCGAAATTTCTGTGTTTTTTTTTTTTTTTTTCTTTTTTGTTTCCTGTCTCATTAAAAATCACCTACTGGCTCCTAGACTGAATATAAACTGGTTCCTAAAATTCCCATTTAATGTGCCGAGAAAAATACATAGGATGCCGTTACTGATCTCCTTCTGAAAATACTAATTACCCGGCTGTCATATCGATCCTCTAGATCACAAACCTTTCTGAGTCACTGACCTGAAACAAGCATGCAACGAAGAGCCAGGACTCGTCTGCATACCACTTCTGGGTCAATGACCGTGCCGAAGATACACGATCAACCAGGCACCCATTTTCAGACTGCAATGGCATCATACATAGGCCCTCCCAGTACAGGATTCTGTTCATTTGACATTCTTTCCTATGACATCACAGAGATTCCTTCAAACACTTTCATGTCCCGTCTGAATTTTAACATCAGCTGGTCTGTAATGCTCAATGGATCAGTTAACCTAAATGTCATCTTGATTCAATAAAAACAGACGCGTACAACATTCATAAGTACGTTGTGATATGTTTCAGAACTGATATGTCCGATAAAGCTGTGACCACCTACAAGTCCTGCCAGGGCATCACACAGCCGAAAACGGCTCATAACAGGGAATGCTGGGGTTTTTGTTGTACTGGGAGGCATCAGATATCTACAGCACTGGACAAAAAAAAAAAAAAAAAAAATCTGAATTTTTTGTACAGAATACTAACAAGTACTTTTATACGCACTTCCTTGTAGCTTACAGGTCAATGAAAGGACAAAAAACCTTCATTAAAAAAGCTTAACTAAATGTATGTGAATAGGAGCTCACCATAACGGTGAAGAACCGAGATGAAAATAACTGAGCTACCTATAACCGAAAATAACTGACACAGGTTCTGCTGAGCTAAATGGCAGACTACATGGAAGAAATCCGCTTCATACCTACATTTCACACAATATCAAACACCTAACACTGTAATTTACACTCACCAGTCCTGTAAAAGGTACATATGGGTGCTTGTGATACAAAAAGTGCCTGTAACAGTGGCAGCAGAATATCAAAACGTATGTGGATCAGATACTGAGGGGAGGACAATGTGTCTACACAACACACTTTCTATCAGTAATCGTAAAGCTGAACTCCAGGCACAACATAAATTACTCTACAGCAGTGGTCTCCAGACCCTGGGGGCCAGATGCGGCCCTTTGCTTGCCTTTGGGGCCCTCTTCCTTATACTGTTAAAAGACACTATTCCTTGCCCAATAATGAAGCATAATTCCTGACACTGACATCAACAATGGGGCACTATTTTTCTCAGTGACACCAATGACGGTGCTATTTCTCCCACTGACACCGGCAGTGGGGCACTATTCTTTCCACTGACTCCAATGATGGGAAACTATACCTCTCACTGACACCAATGACAGGGCACTATTCTTCCCAAAGACTTCAATGATGGGGCACTATTCATCCCACTGACGCCAGAGATGGGGCACTATTCCTCCCACTGATACCAATGATGGGACACTATTCCTCCCACTGATACCAATGATGAGGCACTATTCCTCCCACTGACACCAATGATGGGGCACTATTCCTCCCACTGATACCAATGATGGGACACTATTCCTTCCACTGATACCAATGATGGGGCACTATTCCTCCCACTGACACCAATGATGGGGCACTATTCCTCCCACTGACACCAATGATGGGACACTATTCCTCCCACTGATACCAATGATGGGGCACTATTCCTCCCACTGACACCAATGATGGGACACTATTCCTCCCACTGATACCAATGATGGGGCACTATTCCTCCCACTGATACCAATGATGGGACACTATTCCTTCCACTGATACCAATGATGGGGCACTATTCCTCCCACTGACACCAATGATGGGACACTATTCCTCCCACTGATACCAATGATGGGACACTATTCCTCCCACTGATACCAATGATGGGGCACTATTCCTCCCACTGATACCAATGATGGGGCACTATTCCTTCCACTGACACCAATGATGGGGCACTATCCCTCCCACTGATACCAATGATGGGGCACTATTTCTCCCACTGATACCAATGATGGGCCACTATTCTGTCCACTGATTCCAATGATGGGAAACTATACCTCTCACTGACACCAATGATGGGGCACTATTCCTCCCACTGATACCAATGATGGGGCACTATTCCTCCCACTGATACCAATGATAGGCACTATTCCTCCCACTGATACCAATGATGGGGCACTATTCTTCCCAAAGACTTCAATGATGGGGCACAATTCATCCCACTGACACCAGAGATGGGGCACTATTCCTCTCACAGATTCCAATGATGGGGCACTATTCCTCCCACTGACACCAATGATGGGGAACTATTCCTCCCACTTACACCAATAATGAGGCACTATTCCTTTCACTGACACCAATGATGGGATACAATTCCTCCCTCTAATACCAAAGATGCACTGTTTACTCCTACTGATGCCAGTGCAGTTTCTACTCCCACTGGCCAGTCTGGCCCCCTTAAAGCCTGAAGGTCAGTAAACTGGCCCTTTGTTTGGAGACCCCTGCTCTAAAGTAACAAAGAATATAAATCCACTTTGTGTGTGCCAAATTGTCTTTGCAAACTCAGATGTTACGTTGTAAAAGTTGCAGTGACATCGTCACTGTGCTGTACATAGAAAGCAGAGCTATGGGAGGGACCCAGCAGACTCCGTCCACTACAGGCCTTCTGTAGAAAAATACAGGAGTGGGAGGAGACAAGACCAGTCATCCTGCACACAGAGAGAGAGAGCAGCAGTGACTGGTCTTTATTACGGGAATTCCTGCAGGGAGGGCTTACAATGGATTTCTGCACAGATCTGATAGAAAGACACAGGCCACTCTAAGTTTCAAGGAAGAATACACATGATGCTTGTTTTTAGACAATAGTTGTTTAGCCCGCAGTTCAGCTTTAAAGAAAGACCCTGAGACTTTCCTGCACAAAGCAGACTTATCCGATTAGTAACTGCACTGGAGATGAATCCTTCTCAAGCCTATCATCAGCCTAAAATGGTCCATTCCAGCAAGCTGTAGGCTCTACGGCAAAACCAAACACAATGGCAATCACAACACAAAACTTGAAACTCTGAGCATTACTAGCTCCTCCATAACAAAAGGCAATATGAATTTTAGGTTCACTGATCCATTACTTTTATAAAGGTTGAACTGGTATTTTTTTTTTTTTTTTTTACCAGGGGAGATATGTCTGAAAACGGACAAAAATAAGGAAAATTTAAAACTTTAGAAAGAAAAAAAAAAAAAAAGAAGCAAAATCTTGTTTTTTTTGTGTCTCTCAAGAAAGTGCCAGAGCTGCACTACCCCACCGCTGCTATGACTGCGCCTGCGATTGCACTTACAACCCCATTAGCGTCCACTCAGGGAGCTCAGATTCCACTTGAATCAAAACATAAAAACAAAAACAAAAAAAAAAGGCACAAAAATGTCCATCGTGTGTTCTCAGTCCCGTCTTTCAGGATCTCGACATGCAGAAGGTGCCTAAAAAAATCCGGACCAAATGACGCATTTGGCCCGCGATTGCAGCAGTTTTCCAGACGCCGTTGTTAAACCAACGTAATTTCTACATCTTCCGTCTTTTCTGGCTGCCGCCGGTGAGCCTGTGTGGGCGGTGGTGGGGCCGCTCGCACCTGCATAGAGAAAGAAGAAAACACAATAAGCCCTGAGGTCCAACCTGCGCCCCATTGCCTATTATTGTGCAGCCCTCGGGATCCCTGCAGACACCATTGTGTGTTACTCAGAAAATATTCCTTAGACTGGCTTCTAGTAGTCAGTGGTTTCCTTCCTTTTACGTTGTCTTACTTT